TGACCTGATCAGATTTACATATGATCAAACTTAAGAGCCCTGTGACTGCTGGGTGGATTATGCACTAGGAAAGAGCAAGGTCGGAGGAACAGAAGATCAGCTGGGAGACTCCCATAATAATTCAGAAGACAGACATGAGGTAGAAAGCTTCAAATACCCCCAATAGTAGAGTAGATGTACAGTGGAAGACAAAACACAGCAATGAAAATGAACTAATCATAGCTACATGCAACAACATGGATGGGTCTTGGAAATGCAATGTTGAGCAAAAGGCACAAAAGAGGACTGTATAATTCCACTTATATCAAGTTGAAGAAATAGGCAAACAAAATTAGTGTTTAGGGTGCTTGCTTAGGTGACAAACCTGTAAACACAAGGAAGTGATTATCACAGAAATAGTGGGGAGATTACCCCATTGGGGGATTCTGCTTGACAATAACTTTGTTCATTTTGTGACAAGCACATTGTTTTACATTTCTGTTTTGTGCACACTTCTGTATGTCTGCTATTCTTTTTCTTTTTTCTTTTTTGACATGTTTATTGATTTAGAGAGGAGAGAGAGAAACATTGGTTTACTCCCCCAGGCGTCCTAACTGGGGACTGAACCAGCAATCTAGATACATGCCCTGACTGGGCATCGAACCCATGACCTTTCCATGTACAGGACAAGGCTCCAACCAACTGAGCAATACCAGCTAGGGCTGTGTATATACTATTCTTGAAAAGAATTTAATTTTTAGAGAGAGAGGAAGGAGGGAGAAACATGAGTGGAACATCAATGGACTGTCCCCTGCAACCCAGGTATGTGCCCGAGCCAAATGGAACCTACATGGGGCAATGCTCCAAATTGAGCCACTCCGCCTTGGGCTATCTGGGTAGGGCTATTTATTTATTTAATATATTTTTATTGATTTCAGAGAGGAAGAGAAACATCAATGAGAATCCTTGATCAGCTACCTCCTGCACGCCCCCTACTGGGGATAAAGCCCGCAACCTGTTTGTACCTTGACGGGAATCAAGCCGGGACCCTTCAGTCCGCAGGCTGCCACTCTACCCACTGAGCCAAACTGGCTAGGGCGAGAACCCTAGCTCTTATTTACTATTCCAACTACTGCCTCCAGTTTTGACACTCCCAGCCTCACCAAGCTGCCTGGGGCCAGACACTATGGACACCAGAAAGGCTGCCCAGGTGGGTGTCTGCAGCCTCTGGCTCCACATGGGAAGCTCAAGTACAACAGCAGGCGGCCGTTTTGTCTTCCACTGCCAAGTCGGCTCACTTGGGACCAGAAGGTGGAGCCAGTGAGCCTGCGGGCCTCTACCGAAGAATTCCGCATGGAGCAGTTTGAGGGCCGGACCTAGTAACCGCTAGTCTCCTGATGGTCCACCTTCTGTAGCTAGTTTGCGTAGCTGGTCTCAGTGAAGATTTGCAAAGCAACCAGTGGCCATAATTGTCAGTGTTGGCATGCCCCTCAGATGCATTTAGTAGACAATTTCTCACCTTTGTCCAAAGCCATTATTTTACAGTGTAAGATAAAAAAATTTTTTTAATTCATTTCAGAGAGGGAGGGCAGAATAGAAACATGGATGAGAAACATCAATCGGCTGCCTCCTGCACGCCCCTACCGGGATCAAGCGCAACCTGGGCATGTGCTCTGACCGGGAACCCATGAACCTCCTGATTCGTGGGTAGACGGTAGACGCTCAACCACTGAACCACACCGGCCGTGCTACAGTGTCAAATACTTTTATATAGAATAAGCCAGTTGCAACCAGCAAAGCCATCTTTACTGTCTCCCACAGCTGTTCTTCTAGTCAAGGGCACTTATAAGCCTTGCAGCCTCATTATGGGAGGTTCAATGTGCATGCCTCCTGGATATGGAAACAGAGGCCCAGAGAGGGCAAGCGACAGGCGGAAGCGGCAGAGCAGCCCCGGGGCTAGGACCCCGGTCCACGTCGCGTTCACAGCCTACGTCACCAGGACTCCGCCCTCGGGCCGGCGCCTCCGTGGGTTTCCAACCCGCCCGCGCCCCCTGGTGCGCACACTCAATCCGCTCCCTCCGGCGCGCGGTCCACCCGGGTCCTTCCGCCCGGCGGGCGTGCCCGCGTGGGAAACTGAGGCAGGGAGCGTGCCTGTGAGTCCGTCGCGTCCTCTATCCACACCCCAGGGCCCGCAAAGCTGCCTCCCCCTCCTCAGACCCGCATGGAAGAGCAGGGAAACACGGGAGGTAGAGGAGGGGGCCGAAAAGAAGCGGGTTTGAGGACCCGGACGGTCCTGCCACACTCAAGATGGCGGCCGGGAGCAGCGAGGTCCCTCAGAGGCGGTACCAGCGCATGCGCAGCGCGGAGTCCCGGCCCGGGACACAAGATGGCGGGAGCGGCGCTGGGGAGGGAGAGGCGGAGGCGGCAAAACGGGCGGCCGAGCAGAACGTATAGCCGCATCCCCTCGAGTCCGCTTCGGGCAGGTAAGAGCGCCAGGAAGCCATGGTACCGCTGCGAGCCGTGCCAGGATCCGGGAGTCCGAAGCCGGACGGTGGTGACCTCTCCGACGCTTTTCACTCGGGGCCACCGCTTGCTTCGCCTCTGCCGCCGCCGCCATTTTAGGCCTGAGGGTGGGCGGCCGGGCTGGTGGCCTGGGTGAGGGAGGTGGGCCCGGAGAGCGCTGGCGGAGCGGCCTCTAAGGCCCCTCCGCTGCCGCCGCCGCCACCGCCTTTGTGTCGGGCTCTGACTCTGAGTCGCCTCAGCCCGGGGGCGGGAGCGCGCGGCGGGGCGGGGGGCGGAGCCCGGGAGATGGGCCGGCGCGCGCGCGCCAAACAGCCCGCCCCCGCTGGGGTGGGGGGAGCGGGGAAGGTGTGCGCGCGCTGGGGGTCGCCCCTCCTTCGCGCGCCCCCCCGCACCTGCGCACTTTGCAAGTCCTTTGACCCCGCCCTACTGGGCTGGAGGATTCTGATTGGTGTATTACTGAGATGATCCCGCCCCGCCTTTCTCCAATCCTGGAATGGACTCTATGTTCCGATGGGTTTCTTCGGTTGCGCAGATACAGTTTATTTTTAAACTGCTTGGCCGTCAAACTGCGGCATGCTGGCGGCCAGCGAGCTACAGAATCAATAAAAACGCCATCTTAATAATATTTGTCTCTTACTGAGTGTAAATATGCTAGACTCTAGGCATAGAGACCATAGAGGTTGAGTGCGGCTTATAAATCGGAAAGTAGCAGAAGGTTCTGGAACGTGGGTCTGCCCAACGCCAGCTGGTACTTAAAAAAATTTTTTTTTATTGCTGTCAGGAAGGAAGAGGGATAGAGAGATAGAAACATCAATGATGAGAGAGAATCATTGATTGGCTGCCTCCTGCACAATGGAGCTAGAAACCCAGGCATGTGCCCTGACCAGGAATCCAACTGTGACCTCCTGGCTCATAGGTGGATGCTCAACTACTGAGCCATGCCGGTCGGGACCTACTGGTACTTTGATAAGTGATCTGCTGCATCCAAATCAGCTGGGAAATTTTTTTAAAAATTTATTTTATTATTTTTTTTAAATTTTAATTGTAAAGAATTGCTAAAGATTTGAAATGGTATAAAGCAAAAAGGTTGGTCATCCCATTTCTCATTCCTGCTCTTCACGTTCATTTAAAACAAACACACACAAATTCTTGTGTACCTCCCCTCCCCATTTCTGACTCCTGAGATGTGGAGTGAGGGACAGGAATCTGATTTTTTTTTTTTTTACAAGCCACCTGGTGGTTCTTATGCATAGCCAGTTTTGGGAACACTGCCAAATGCAGTGTCCCCATTTGGCTTCATTAAGCTGTGCTGCTGTGCCGCCTCTGCATAGTTAATGTAACTGGTGCATCAGTATCACACAGTGTTTTTTGGGGAAAATAGTTTTCAATAAAGATGAACACACTGTTACATAATTCATTTGCATGTGTGTGTGTTCGTTAAAGACTTAGTTCAAAGAAGTGTGGGTGGCTTTGAACTTGCCCTCAATCTGTGATATGTGTGCTTGTTCACTTTTCTCTTGTCTTAGGGATACTTTAGTTGGCAGGACAATTTGAAGGGTCCAGTGTGCAAAATGAAAATGTGGGCCCCTTGTTAAAAATTTATTAAAAATTTTAAGACAGTGACAGTGGAACATTAAATTAGGCCCAGGGCCCTCATCAACACAGAGCTCTATGCGACTATAGACTGCATGTCTAAGAGGGTGAACCTGTTAGGCTGGAAAGCTTGAGAAGTACCGTTTTTATTCCCTGAGTCCCCAGATCTCCCACAGTGTGTCCTACCCTGTCCTGGAGGCTTCCAATTTGCCCATCTTGTTGTTGTCCCTGCTCTGCAGTGTTTACAGGTCTGTGACTCTTTTCTTCTATTTGCTCTGCAGTTGCTGATGCAAGGAATTCCCTGGGCCCTCGTTCACTCCACTGCTGA